AAATTTTTATGAAAAATAAATATCAATACCTTGTATTGTGAGTATATAGATACCTACTGAAAATAAATTAGAAGTAGTACAATTTATAAAAATGAAAAGAAAAATTATTAACATTTAAAAAAAAACCGGAATTACTATTATTGATATTACATTTATTCACATGTCTAAATGGTTTGTCAAATTTCGCAGATGGTGTATGTGCATGATGGGCACGAATGCACGATCCGTAGACACGCCTATAGATGTCAGTGTTATTATTGTTATTGCGCATAATGTACCTATACTCCGTATTGTGCCTGTATTGATGTACACAAGTCATAAACTCGTAACACTATTACGTGTGCGTGCGAAATAATGGATATACGAAAATATTGCGTGTTGAGTGTACATTACAAGTAGGTAGATACAAATAATGTTATATGCGTGGAAATGGACGAGTGTACCTAAAGAGTTTTTCATTTCTACAATACCGACGAGAGGACTACATTTATACGTTGTACGCGTGATTCAGCTTTTCAGTTTTAACTCGCGTTTAGTTTTATTTTGACCCGCAAAGTCACTTTGTTCGAAGGATACTGTATATGGTAACAAAAGTATAAAATACGGCGCGTGGTGCATTGCGTAGCTTGTATAAATAAAACCAATACGAGACACGACGTAAGAATGCCAATAAACAAAATGTCTTTACATTATAATTTTTTGTGGTGCGAAGGTTGAGGGGGCAGTGAAGCCCACAAAAGCTGGGCATTATATTTTTGTTCCCTGCAGTTTACATTAATACCAAATAAAATTGACCACTTGATACAAATACTCAAATGCTTACGCTTCAAGGGGAGAGGTCCAGAACCTATAGAGACCCCCCTCACTGGTTGCGCCACAGTCGTTAGGTCTGGCGCTATGCAACAATTTTCCACGGTTGTCACACAATACCTATTGTGTAAAGAATATATAATAAATATAAATAGTGGATTCGCGTTGCTCGAGAATAAATAAGTATTATATTATTATTATTATTATTATATAGGACGTAAACGTACTTATCGTTTTAATAAGATATTTTAATTCACACCGGATCGAACTACGTAATTCCGTGTATTATTATTATATTATCTCAAACCGTCCTTGCATTGCGGAAGTATTATACAGTCATAATCCTATGTGATATGTGTACGAATACGACTATACCAAAGGGTGTTTCATACAGTAGACTATTAAACATTTACAACCAGACTTATAATGTTATTATTATTTTAAACCATAATATATATACGAGAAATGTACCTACTGTCGACGACCCTGTAATTTTAGATTTTAACGTCATCAAATCATCACACAAGTAATAAAGCGTAACGTCATAAATAATGTTGAAAAGTTTTTAAATAATATTACCATTTACCATACCGTGTTGTCCTATTTACAACATTGATAAATCCATTTGGCCGACTTCCCGGATGAGTTTTAAATGAAACGTCTTCTTTTTTTCGACTAAAATGCATATAAGGAATTTTTTAAGACCAATAAATCCGCCTTCCTATTATTAACTGTACAGACAATTGCAGAGTTATTTGGCTCGTTCCCACTTTAATTCTACATTGTTTTACACACAGACGTGACAAACACTGGAATCCTAAATAGGCTATTATAATATGACTGCAATTCTGGAGCGGATGTTCTGACATGAATGGCTGTTTTTACATTACCTATTGTGTGATTATAAAACTTTTAATTCATATTTATTAAATTGTTGAGTACCTATAGGCTATAATCATTTCGATATTAGTTTCCTCTAATTTTAATTATTTGACTGAGAGTTATAATTATTATTCGGTCCTCTCGACAATATTAAAATACAATAGTTTAGTTTTCATTGTTAAAAAAAACTTGATCAGTTTTTTAATCCCAACATATTTTAGTACCTACAAGTAATTATTATACTTAAGTTATAGTCAACTGTAGATAGGTATACTATAAATAAGTACTTAAAATCCTCGGAAAACGGCAATTTTATTAAAGTTGTCACGGCTGTTGAACTATATAATTAAATCACTTATTTTATGTAAATTGTTTTTATTACATAATTATTTAAATTCATGCTTTGTCTTGCATCCAACGTTGACGAAACCAACATAAAATATTGTGGAATGGATTTTTATTTGAAAAGAGTTTAATATTTATTAAAATAATTTCGAGTGCATTGTTAGAAATGAGATTTTATTAAGACGTAAAATTCTTTAGTGACCATATATTGGTGATAAAGTAACTTTTAGTGACCAGCCGAATTACTTTTTTTAATTTTGGCTAATGCATGAAAATATTGTCCGCGCCCACTTGGTCCGGTTGGCAATCAGCCACGGGAATTCAGCCAAACAACGATGTCCCCACCTAAGTCTCAATAGCACGTATGTCCTGTGATAATATTCGTTATTTTATAGAGTTTTAGTTGTTTGGGCATATTTTGGTCGCCTAACTTTTTCTGTTTATACGGCATTCAATTTCAAACTCATAATATACTGCCCACGTATAGCACTACTGTGGGTAGTGTTTGAACCATCATATAGTACCTAATACAAATTTGAAAGCAATTTTTTACAGAGGTATTTTTTTTTTTAAATTTATCAGAAACTTGGACAACTCAAGTTCATGACAAATCAAAATATCAAACGCAACACATCTTATACCAACATAATCAAAATCTTTATTCAAATATGAAATTCAGAATGAAACATCTGCCATAAATGTACACTGATTACATAATGTACGAAGCATGATAAATAACTAATTAATAAATATGTTTTGATTATGATTGATTCATCCACATTTTTTATAAATAACATATTATTATACAAATCGTATTTTATTTTTACTCTTCTACAATAATATTTACAGTACCTATAAGTTTTATGGCCATTTGTTTTTTTCATACTGGGAATATGTTCTCAAGAATACGACTAATGCAAGATGATTAATTATAATTGACCACTTCGTAATTTGCCGTTTTTATTAGAATTAATAAGATAAATGCGGATTAATCACAAGTTTCCTCGACCCTTCATTCTACAGTACCTATATGCACCCGTAATATTGGATTCGGTTACACGTATGACGCGTGTACGTTAATCGCGCCGGCGCTTGTGGTTACCGTGTTTTAGTTGAATTAATGCGAGGCGGCTGACCTGTACGGCAATAATATAAATTTATACGGAGGACATGAGATCACGATTACACAGTCCCTGTAACCACAGAATAATGAAGTCATTGTGGTATAATTTACAAAAAAAAAAAACAAAATCCAACACGACGTGTTCAATTAGGAATTCACTGTTCAGTACCTTTTTTTTTTACAGAGATGAACACACCCCCGAGGTTAACATGATGTACATACGTAATAACTAATAAATTATTATGGAAATTTCGTCTGAAAAATAATATTCAACTAAAAACAGCAAATTCCATAAATGATCAAAATCATCCTATAAAGATAAAACTTAATATAATTAAAATCACTATTGTAATTTATGTTTTTATTGGTAAAGTTTAACTTAACTTTTTAGTTAACTTTAAAACGAAAAGAAGAAAAGCATCGATGTTTATTATTTTATTTTGTTGATGTTTTTTTTAACTAAGAAGTCTTTGTTATCACATTTTTATAAACTAAACTCAACTCAAAAAGTAAAAAGAAAGTAACTTCTTGTCGTAAAAAAAGAACCCGAATGAAAAGAAATAAAGACGAGATTTTATAGTTGGTTAAACTCTATTACTGCAGCGTGTAACCATTATTTCAGATGAATCAATATAATATTGCGGTTCTATAACACTCAATCTACTATTCCAGAACAGTTTTTAAAATTGAAAAGCAATCATTTAGGTAGTGCATAAGTGAAACGTTTAAGAAAAATAATATTAAACATACCATTTGGGGCTACTATATTCTAATGAGATAATGAGACCTAGATACTCGTGATAAAAAAGTCTCATTAAGTGGGACGATCATCAATACTTACCGTACGTTTTTATAATATTGTAACAATATATTTTACCATATCAGACAACAATAAATCAACAGTTGAAAAGTTGTTCTAGAGTTAAATATTTAAATTTGTAATTTATTAAGTATACAGTTACAAAATTGAAAATATTAACGATCAATATAACAATTTAAGTATCAAGCACGATATATTTGAAACCTATATATGATTACTGTATTCATATTTCTACATCTAGAACGGTCAGAGGAAGTGTACCTGAATGTTATTACAGTCTTGCGAGTTGCGAGTACCTAAGCATTCTAACTATTGGGACGAAGTAAGACAATTTGACATTACAGGTTTGTCACAACCCGATCGCGGGACGAATCACTGCAGCATGAAACAGAATATATATATATAGAAACAGTTGCGGGGAGGTGAAGTCAACGAACCACGATATTTATCGTAAGCCATTGTTAGGGTGGTGAAGGGAGGGACAAGGGTAATACACTTAATATTGTCACTGAATTTCCAGTTAAATAAAAATTTTATTTTAGAGACACTTTTATCCGTATAGACTATAGATGAATAAATGGGTAGAGAATATCAGCTAAATTGTTTTGTGCTTAGATTTGTAGATATTAATGTTGAGTGACCACGGCAAGGTAGTACAGTAGCAGCTAGATCGGGACAGTTGGCTGTCATTCCGATCATAGAACCTTATGCAGTATATAGGCATGTCTTATATCATATACATTCCTCTATATATTATCAATGGGAACGACCTGCTGCAGATGAAGTGGCGTGTATATAGGTACTGTATAATATACGAGGCAGGTATAATAATAATCGTTTCGACTCGCTCGTGGGCATGGGCTCTCGTAAAGCTCGACACGCCGCTGACACGAATACATACGATAATATAAATATTCCTAGTATTATGATGATGGTATAAGACGTACCTATGTAATACCTATACATAATAATCATAATATATATACGAATATTAAACCGAGAATGAACGGCAGCGCTTACCTTGGTCGATCCGCGACGTCGGAGTGTCGTACAGGCCGACTGACCGGAACCGCTGTACGGACACGCGGCATTCCCCGTCTGCAGCTGACTCCGCAGACGTCGGGTAGGCGCATCCGTCCCACCGACGGTGCGCCGACAACACGATTACCGCCAACAAAAACCTCCGCATGTCGGGCTCGGAGGTGTGGGCGGTTTGACGACGGACTTAAAGGTATCTCCTAATTATTTAATATTATGTGTATAATATGTATATTATGCACGGTGATGCGCGGAAACACGATCGGAAACTGTTGTACACTTGCGCGACCGCCCGCGACACGGCGACGTATGTATATTATTATTAAAATATAATGCTATATTTGTATAATATTATATTTTTACTACTGCGTTTCCGGAACTTAACTCAAAAACACGCGTGAAAACAATAATTTGTCGAATTTGGAAAAAATGACCGCACACCCGACGGACGAAAAACTCGCGTAATCAACAGTTGGAATTTTCGTACATTTCCTCGTCTAAAATTATTTTTATATAATAATATAATATTAATTATTATTATAACCGATGTTGAAAATACGAATACGACGACAGCGGCTGCGGCGTCGATTAACGGCAACACGCGTACGGCTCAACCGGGTGTGAACGGCACGACTGACTGACGAATTCGCGGGCGATGCACGTCGTCGGGGGCGCCGCCGCAACGCGACGGGTGGGCGGTCACGATCTGGAAAAGCAGGGGCGGAGGGACTTCTGCTGCGGCGGTGGCGGCGAAGACGGCGGTCAGCTGAGCTGGACGGCTGCGGCGGCGGGTCGACGGCCGCGCACTCCATCTGTCGGCCTACGGGACGGAGATTTGCCAATTTTTATAACGTGCAATTTATTTTTATCGTCTCTGCAATAATTTAAATACCTAGGTATGTGTAAGTATTATTATATTTTTATTACTATATAATCATTACGCGCGAACTAATATTTATATTTATATTATACATAAGGTACACATAAAGGTAAATGGATCATGTAATTTTGTTTTACTTTGTAATTTATCAACAAATAATATATTGTCTTAACATAATTATTTATCAAACGGCGAAACTTCAAGCTAAATAAATTATTATTATTATGGTATACGTAATATTAATATTTGTATAAAATATTAATAATAAACTTATTATGACTTAGCTGGTACTACATGAATTTCAGTATTCAATTACCTATATACATTATACTGTGTATAATATATATACAAATGTAAGCACGGTCCGCGTGTGCCTATACAATAACCAATTACGGTTTTGATATATAGGTTATAGATGGGTGGTAAAATTGATTATAAATGCTAATTTTATTTATAATCAATAGTAGTAAATAGTAACTAGTAAGTAATTCGACGTAGGTACCTATAACCTACCTGTAACTTGTTGTATGCAATTTTTTTATAATATGTTAATATGTTAATATATTTACAGTTGTTGAAAGTTGTATAACTTATCACTATTATAAGTGTAAGTGTCTATACTTATTGTTCATGCATTATATAAAAAAAAATGCAATTAATTGTTAATTGTAGATAATATATACCTACTTTATTATACCTATTTTATTGATATATTCAGGCCCGGCTCAAGGGATAGGCGACATAGGCCCACGCCTAGGGCGGCACATAAGCAGCACTTTAGTAAGAGGGCGGCATTTTCAAAATACTGATAATATTATATTATTAGGGGCGGCAAAATTTGATTTCGCCTAGTTCACTATTTTCGCTTGAGCCGGTCCTGGATATATTGTAAATGAAAGTCTTGATTCACTAAATGTATTACCTACATTTAAACTGTCAGTAAATCGTCAGTAAGTTAACATTGTAAGTTTTTAAACAAAAATACAGTTGAAACTTGACAATATAAAAAATGTATGTACTGCAGTCTGCAGTGCCCGGTGACAATACTGATAATAAAAGTTATAGCATAAATAACTTAAAAGTAGTATGGGCCGGCGGGTGCTTGCAGGCTGTTGTCATTCACCATTTCAACCCGTGTGAATATTATAACAGTTATAGTTATAGGTAGGTACATAACAAAGTAACAAAATTAACAATACATAATATGATTTTAACTATATATATTATATACATTATATATATTATCTATTGTAGTTGAATAAAACGAAAATAAATTTTCTAAATTGGTCTCTTGATAAAAAGTGTCTTACCTTAGGGAATACAAAAGATCGCAAAAACCATAATAGCATCATTAAATAAAATAATAAATATTTTATTTTATTTATTAAATAACATTTTTGATACACAAAAACGAAATAGGTACATTAGTACATTACCTACTATTATTTTTTATTATCTTACATTCTTCCAAGCGAAAAGATAATTAATTGTAAATAAGCAATATTATCAACATTGACCGAGCACATATAAAAATAATATTATACCCTTATTATTAATCCTAAAATTAAATAAATTGGGATCGTCAAGTTGAGATTGAAATTTCACTGAATGTTCGTATTAGCATTTCCTATACACTGTACAATTTTGAAAATATTTTGACTCTTTTTGAGCTGTTTACGGACATTTTCGGTTTTCAATTTTTTTAGTTTTTTTTTCTATAAATATCAATAAAGTTTTATCAGTTGGGCCAAAAAGTGTAAAAATTAATACAAGGCTCCTGATATATTGTTACAATAGCAATTGATAAATATAAAAATACATGGCACAATTTTTTTATAAGCATTTAAAGATCGAATTTTGAAAAAATTTATCAAAATCTCGAAAATTATCAATCATTGTAATTAATAAATTATAAAATGTTTAGTTTTTATGCTAAGGATTGCAAATTTAAAACAAAGGTTCTCATAAATTGTTTATACTGTAACCAAAAAATCTAAAAAATATATGAACACAGTTATTTTTTACAGACATTTTAAATTCAAATTTGGACGAAATTACATAATGAAAAACCTAGAATAACTATTTTAGTTATTTTGTTGTGATTGTATAATAATATTCGTGGGTACTTGAAACTTCTAAAGTACACTATATTATATATCAATGATAGTATCAGGGTTTGTTATTGATGTATAACGTGTTATAAGTACCTAATGGATATTGTGATATGATTAATTGGGAATTCATTATAGGTCAATTTTTTTTATTACCATTGATAAGTACCTATATAATATGTCTTATACCTAGAAGGACATACCACCTCCCGCTCAGAATCGTTTTTCTTATACAATGATAAAAAATCATTGAATTCAAATGTAGTACCATCCATTATACAATGACCCACTTGTAACCTACTATACAGCAGAGCGACACCCACCTTTTTTTGAACTGACTTTTTAATTTTTTTTTATCTTAACTGTATAGTATTATTATTTATTGATATAAAAAAAAGTTACTCATTTAATTAGGATTATGAAAAATACATAGTATTTAAAAAAAATAGTTAGGTACATGCATGTATGTAACTATGCATAGTTACAAGTAGATCTCGTACATCGTTTATGTCTATCTATATAATATAATATATATTATGTCCATAAATTAACAATATAGATAAATTATTATATTAAAATTTAAAATAAGTGTGCCTCGGCCCTTGGACCAAAATAAGATGACAACTGAAACTGCATTGGTCTATCAACACAACAGTAACAGCCTCACTGGCCCATCCCTCTACCCCCTCACCTATCAACGGGTAACACCTGATCCAAATCCATCCATTTATTAAAGTGCATCCTGATCCTGTTAATCAATTTTACATTTATGTAAATAAGCTATTTATTTGTATAAATTATAAAATATAATACAATAGGTAATAGGTTTGTAGGTACAGACAATTATCCACTCATAATACCTATTTTATTACCCCCCCCCCCCGAGATACGCCACTGGTTTAAAATTATCTTCCAAAAATAAAAAAATATTGGTTAGGTTTTTTTGATTGTTATTATTTACTTTTGTATTTTAGTTCTGAGTGGAGCAAATAATACATTTATTTTACAATTATGTGTATTGTTTATTGTTCATCCTTTGGGGTAGTAAAAGTGTATCGGATTTACTTCAGCATCTTTTCTAGTGAGATTGTGGGAAAGTAAAACTAGTTGGTACTTTGGGAGTACCACTTGCAATTCTAGCTTTTTTAATATTCATTAGTTAATTTTGTATTAGTACCTACCTATATAAGTATTATTATTATGTTTGCAATTGAATTAACCATTTGTACATTTATTAATTTTTATCGTAGGTATATGTTTTGTTTTATATTTAATTTTTGATCCGAAATGAAATTTTCCCGTTTGTGAGGGTGGGCGTCCAATGAATCGAGGGGGAAAAGCACGAAGGGAAGCGTCCTAGATTTGATAATCCTCCACCAGTCCAAGAAATTAATTTATATAACTTTTATTGAAAACGGTTCAGTAGTTACTGAGTTTAATGTTCATAGCGAACAAAGAAAAAAAACGTTAATTTTGATATAAGTACAATAAAGATTATTTATAATTAATTAAATTAATATGATGAATATGAAAAACATTACTATTCTTTCATTCGTGGAAACACATTATAGTCATTACTATAACTGAATATTATTACATTTAGTGAAGACACTTAGTAGGAAGTTGGGTGCGACCAATGTCCAATAGCACACCCAGGTAATTTAAAGGCTAATTGCAACATTAACGTCTGAGCCTTGGCCTTCAAATTTCAAATAACGAAATAGGGGACATTCCTCTGCAGTACAGAAGGTGTTGAGTGTATCTCATCATTGACTAGGTCACTGATATGGATGTATTAAATATGAATTCAATGATAGATCATTGTTTGCTATAGCGATTGTGAGCGGAGACGGTTTGTTAATTTAATTGTCTAAAGATATTTCTTAATATATTGTAATATATAGTGGTATCATATATTAAAATCAGTATAAATACAAAGCTCCTAATAAATGATTGTAATGGCAGTTGAAATATATTAAAAATACCAACATATGCACAGTTATTTTTTTATAAGCATTTAAAGTTTGAATTTTGAAAACATTTATCAGATTGAAAATTTAAAAAAAGTGCTCTGCTGTACAGTAGGTTACAAGTGGGTCTCTGTATAATGGATGGTATTATTTGAATTCAATGATATAATAACATTGTATAAGAAAAACG